TATATAAATTGCAAATATGCACTTTCTCGGGGCGATTCCTGTTGGGGAGACAAAGAAAATTCGGAGGGATTCTTTGTACCCCCAGCCTGGGGGAAGCATAGGATACGGCCGTATGAGAGGCCAGAAACAAGGAAGCGTGGCTAGACCCTCTTGGATAGAGCAGGTTTGAAATAGTGGATGAAGCAACTACAAGGAAAATGACATTATTTCCATTAAAGGCGGACTGACTCGGAAGACAGCCCATTAAAAACCAATGTAGAGCTGATCTGTGACGCTAATGAAGGGGTGAAGAAGAAAAAACAACAAGGAAACGGCCTAGAACCCGTGAAATGAGACCCTTTTTTGTCCGTTGATTTGCGTATTAGACGTTTTACATCGGTGCTCTTCATCAAAGCTTACGCTCTTTCTGATAGAGCGCTAGAGACAGACAAGAGGGTGGGCGGGCAGCGGCCCGAGAGGCGCGGGTGGGGCCCTGCTAGGCCTCTGGGGCATACTCTTCGATGCGACACCCGACTCGTCCCGCATCCTCAAGACTTGCTTGCCTCCCACTAGGTACATTTATCCTTCATCGGCCTCCGACCTTATCGCACAATCCTATTTAAAGGACGAATTCACGCTGGAAAGGCAACCCATTTCAAATTAACTTAGGGATGGTGACGAAAGAAGGAAAACCATGAGAAACGGCCCAGAACCCGAGAAATGGGACCCCTTCCTTGCCCGTTGATTTGAGCATTGACTCTCATCGCTGTGCCCTCTTCAACACTACGCTCTCTCAGCTATCTAATCACTCGCCACGTATAGACCTGCGGCGAGTGATCAGATGATCGGTGGGCGTGCACTGGCCCACCGCGCCAAGATTGAGCCTTAATAGGTCGCCGAGGTCAACTCCTTCGGTGCCAATTGCGCTTCAGTCCGCACCCTTAGGAGGTCCGCGGGTCCCTCAACTAGGTGAATTACTCCTTCTTCGACCTTCATTCTAATCGTGAATTCTCCTTTAAGTAATGTTTCGCTCAGACACTAACTATTGCTGGAATTCCTGGCATAGTTTCAGCTATAGGGTTCCCTTTTTGTTCTCGTGCTGAAGGGCGCAATTTTCTTACTGAGCTTTTTTTGCTTCGGTGCGGATTCACCCTGCTGAATTATGGGAAAGATCTAGGGAAATCGTTCTTATGGGTGGTACGAATACACAAGTACTTATTGCTTTAGTTGGCTATTCATGATTTTAGGACTCAATCGTAGAAAGGGAGGGTCAATCAATCGT